ATTCACAGGTTCATTTTGAAGTATTAGCAAAACAACAAAGCTAATGCTTTTCACGGAACTTACGTAATTACCCATTATACATTGTGATATAGCCTGGTTCGTTGGTCCGTTAGATCGGATTGCTTTCTCACTACAACCGAACCGCTCCAGAGTTCGTTTTCAATCGAGCCGAGACCACCTTGTTCAGGCGATCTCGGACTGATTGTTTTGGCTCGGATCCGGGCGCGATTGCCGTGTTCACATATGCCCAAAACGAACCGAGCTAAGGGGGGAAACGCGCCAGGTTCCGAAACAATGGGCCAGGTGTGAAAGCACCCTTAAGCATATGATCTGCTCTGTGATGTCATCTCTTTGGAGCTGCAAAGGTGCACGTGACACTGACTGGAAACCAGATTTCATTCACCTCAATAGAAAGCATTATTAAACTGTCTGAATCACTTCCTATCACCTAATATGCATTCATCATATAAAACATAGTAAATGTGTGAACAAAATATTGAAAAGTCACAGATTCAGCATCTTTTGCCATCAAAGCCATCAAAATTGTTAATCTGTATTGGTGGTGAAGAGAAAATTGTGAATGCATATATTTTTAAAAATGCTAATTTTGTTTCTGTTTTACAACATACTGGCTCCAGTGTTGGGTAGGGTTGGGTATCGTTTGGGATTTTTTTCGATACCGGTGCCAAATCGATACTTTTAAAACAGATCCGGTGCCTAAACGGTGCCTGAACCGATACTTATTAAAAAAATAAAAAATAAAAATTCCCCCAAAAAATTATGGATTGGCCATTAGCACTATGAACACATGATGTCGGTTTCATTCATACTGGACGCCAGAGGGCGCCCTCGCACAGAAAATCCACATATCCAGTCACAGAAGTAGAGAACTCATGACCCTCTAGGAAATCCCTTAACAGAAAAAGAACAGATAATGCTAGTGTTAGAAGGTCATTATAATAAAAAGAAAAGTGGAAAGAATAGAGAAAGCTAGTCTTAGAGGCTCTTTTTTCTTTATAAATAAAACAAGTAGTTAGAATAGAAATAGAATAGAGAGCGCAAATGTTAGAGGGTCAAGTTTTTTAATTAAAAAAACAAGCAGATAATAAAAAGGTTATAATTTTCTCTTTTGTTGGACAACAGGTTAACAGGTTTAGAAATGTGAATACAAGGGAAATTTAGCTTTAGGCATTTTAATTTAAGCATGTTTAACTTAGTTAATGGAAGGCTACCTGCTGCCATCGGAGCAAGTGTAATTAGGCCTACTGCATTCACGTGCTCCTCGATGCTCTCATTTCCTGAGTTGTGCTTTTAAGTCGGAATGTGGAAACAACGTGGACACTCTCGTTACTACAAAGATTTGTTGGATTTGTATTATTAGAGCTTTCCGACTTGAGTTCACGTGCATTTTCTCAGTCGGGAAATTATTTTTCACGTGCGGTGCCGGTGATGATAAGATGATTTCTTATGTCCGTTTCGGAGAACCAGAGGACAAATATTTCAATCGATCGCTCAGGCATGGCACCGAAATCTGCGTTCTGATTCAGTTCTAGTACATACCGGTTACATGGGTACCAGTGCCATATTGGTACGGGTTTCGGTACCCAACCCTAGTGTTGGGCTCAATTTAATTTGTTACTTTTCAAAAGTAATGTTATTACTTATAAGTATGAGTGATTATATTCTTGTAACAAATTATTGCTGTCAATGAGTAGCCTAATAGCCTATTACTTTTTTGGTAACACTTAGATTAGGGAACATATTGACTATTAGCTAAGAGTTCTCGATAACAATATGATTATCTCAATATGATTATTATCTTTTGTTTTGTCTTTATTGTCTTTATTAACAAGGAATAGGACAAATAATGAAAATATAGCTGCAAGCAGCAGTTAAGGGGCCAAGCAGGCCAAGCACAACACAAGGAGATAAGCATGGCAGGGAGCATCAGACCAACTGGAGCAATGAGTAATTAAAGATATTTTAAGATGATTTTATTCAATTAACAATTAAACTCCGCACACCTGACGACAATAGATAGGTGCGTTGGAGGCAAAGACCAACCAGGCCAAAAAACTAAAAAGCAAAAAACAAATCCCGCACACTATCTATGCAAAAAATATCAAAATATTTATTGACTACGTTTCGGTCGCATGACCTTCATCAGGAATTTTTTTTTTAATTCCCGATTAAGGTCATGCGACCGAAACTTAATCAATTCAAATTATGCATGAAATGAATCAATATTAGAGATTCAAAATATATGAAGCCCCGTTTACATTTGCCATTAAAAAGCGACCTGTATCTAGATGTTGTCCACATATGCTGTAAACATTACAGAGGCATTACAAGTGTAAATGCTTTAGTGAACGGGCTGTATTTTGATATGCTTGTCCTGATCACAAGTATTTGGGGATGCATTGTGCATACCAATATAATCAGTACAATCATATCATATCTGCATTCATAGAAATCACACAAACATACAGTCATTATGTCCCCTCTTTTCTCTGAAGGCTTTACCGGAAAAGATGAAACGCTCAGCCCTCTTTGCATAAGTTTTTTTTTTTTTTAAAGAAGCCACAGCATGTCACATGAAAGTTTTCTTTGCATTGGTGCCATCTGTTCCACACCAATTATGTACTGAAGAAAAGTTAGTTAAAATTATTTCTGAAAAATTCTCAAGCACTCTATGCAACACCGGCAATGAGTAACAACTGGCGTTACCTGTTACTATAGCTAATATTACGACAAAAGCATAGCCTATCTTGGTTCTGTGAAACGTAGCGAAACCATTGTTACTCACATTTTGAGCAGAAACAAAGCAACCTTGGCATCCCTTTTCAGGCCTTCCTGCTCTCTAACATCTATCCAGCGGCGGAAAGTTTTTTTCATCATTAACATGGGTCCTAGTTCTTGCCTGATTGTAATTGTAAATAGGGTTGGGTATCATTTGAATTTGATCGAATTCTGATTCTGCTTATTGATTCTGATTCTTATAGATTCCCAGTTTTAATTCCAATGTGTTACTGAAACTGGGGGGAAAAAATTAAGTCAAACATTTAGATATTAAACACATTTATTCAGCAGGCTAGAAAAAAAAAACTGGATTTTTTTTTTTTTTTTTTT